TACAGATATTATACTATAGTCTGCGGACTGAACAAAAATTTTTAGAATTGTTCACTTTAACGAATGACGTGCCGTCGTTTACAGATACAAAATTCACATTCGTACGAAATATTACGAACTTGCAACCGGAGTTACCTGTCCCGCAAAAATCGTCACATTTGTCAATCAGGTGATCAAGTAAAAATATTTCATGTAATACTATCTTTTAAATAAGATTAAAAAAGACTAATTTCAAATAATCTAGTTAAGCCTATTTAATGCAAAAGAAGCCTATTATCACTCAAAACTAGGGTACTTTTAGCATCAAATTACTTATAATGACATTTATGAATTTAGGGAGGCGTGTGGCGCAGTGTAAATCACAAAGAAGGTGCATATCTGAAGCTTCTACTGTAGGTCTTAAAAACAGCGGTTGCTAACAAGTGACTAAATCAATCTAGATGACATCATCAAGCCGAACATTAGCCTCCTTTAGCTTAGCGGTGTCAATGTGAAGTCATGTGATCGTGATGAATTTTTTTTAAAGCATAATGTTGGCTTCAAACTTGTGGCAATTGCATACGCTTCAAAAATAATGAAAGCAGTGTTAATATGTGGAGATCATCCGGCTGAACAAAACGTGAAGGGATCATAAACATATTTTTGCCACAGGTCTTAGTGTCTTTCAATGGAAAAATCTAATTGCTTTTATTCGATGGAGCCCTTTGCGATGCTAACTTCCAGGTCGGACTACAAACGTCATCACTGCATCACTTTTTTGTGAATAATTGGTGGAGTTCCCCTATTAAAAAAATGCAAATGAACCCAAAGCACCAACACAGAAATGGCTGTTTTCAATGACATCTACCTACTAAACATACTCACACTGATATTCTGAACAATCTGTGCTGTTGTATTTGCTGTAAAGTGTCTCTACTGTAGGCTATTTTTATTATATGTACAGCACTTTGGCTTGACCAAAAATCGTTTATAAATGTGCTATATAAATAAAACTTGATTTGATTTGATTTGATTAAACACTTTGTTGTAAATCAATGGATGTTTTAAATCCCCCCACTGACCTGGCGTGGCGGATGGAGGCGATGGCGTTGCTGAACTCGCTGTCGATGCTGCGGCAGTTGTAGAACTCCTGGTAGGCGTGGCGTGACGATCCCTGGTACTCGATGCGGCTGATGCGGCAGATGCCCACGATGAGGATGATGAGCATGAGGACGAAGGCCACGCACAGCGCTCCGATGATGATGTAGAGGGAGTGGCGGGGCATGTTGGTCAGGGTGTCCTCCGTGTGGGCCGGCTTCCACTGCAGGTCTGAAATAAAGAAAGACGGAAGTATAATAATAATTCAAAACAATTATAATTAAAATACAAAATAAAAATATTTGAAATATATAATAAGACAATAAAAAACTATCACAATAAATAAAAAATAATAATTATAATAATAGTACAAAAATTCATTTTATTTTATTATTTTTTTTACTTTAATTCTTAGTTTTTTGTTTTACTAATACGTATAATTTAAACATAATCTAATTAGATATCATTTTGTCAGGTCTGATAATAAATCAATTTCGATGAGATGTTTTCAGTAAGGCATTGATGGCAGTGGCTCAGTCAGTAGGGGCTTGGGCTGTGAGCCGTAGGCTCGCCGGTTCAAGTCCCCGAACAGACCTAAATATGGAGTGCGGACTGCTACTTGGAGAGGTCCCAGTTCACCTCCTTTCCTGCCGTGGTGCCCTTAAGCAAGGCACCGGACATCCCCCTTCCCCCCTCACTCCCATTGCTCCCCGGGCGCTGTCCAATAGCTGCCCACTGCTCCTAGTACTAGACTCCTGGTACTAGGATGGGTTAAAATCAGAGAACACATTTCACTGTGTGCTGTGTGCTCTCATGTGAGACCATTAAAGAGGGTTTCATCCCTCCCATTCTATTCTCTACTTGATTGTTGGAATAGATTTTTTATTTTATTTAAATAACGTTTATAATTGGCTAAATACATTGAGATTTCTATTTATTTGATTGATGATATTTTCTGATATGATGAATGAATTATTTTGATTTTTGAATGACTGATACTGGTGGAAATAAATGCAGGTCAAAATAACAAAAAAAAAGACTGAGCTGTGGCTAACAGGTTTATTTTCTCTTATAAGCTATTTCCAAATGTTGTCGACCCGAAAATGTAGAAAAATTAAACCATATTTAACTCAAGACCTGTTTAAAAAGGCTTACAATATGAAAAATAAAGAATTGAGTTTGTGTGATATGTCCGTTGTTGTCCTCCAGCCTTTCAAATTCAGACAGCCATTAAGAAGGAGAGAGGAAAACCCCCCAAAAAACCTGACAGAGAGAGGGGGCATGTAGCTGTTTCTCATGTGAGAGGAATAGCTGAACGCAGGTTTTGTGGCAGGCTGACTTACGGATCTCACAGCTGGGCCCCACCCACCCAGGTGGACAGTGACAGGTGAAGCCGTTTGATTGGTCGACGCAGGTGCCTCCATGGTGACAAGGGCTGCTCTCACACTCGTTAACGTCCACCTCACACTTCTCCCCTGGAGGGACGGGAGAGGGTTGCGTTCATTAACAAATAGAAGAAGCAGAATCTGAGGCGTACAGTTTTCACACTCCTTGATCAAGCTGTTTACAAAACCATGGACTTAGAAGCAAAATGCAGAATGTCATACATCAATATTATTTTAAAATAAGAAAAAGTTCTATTAACCCTCCAGGGAAATTGAGGTGTCAGAGCAGCGGCTTCAATAAGAGTGAAACACAGCATAGGACATGGAAGAGCTTATAAAGGGATACAAACAAAAAGTGTAAGTAAGTATGAATACAAATAACAACAACAGGTAAACACAGCTGAATGGATATGAACAGTTATATGTCTAGGTGCAAGTACAAGTCCAAAATAGGTACGTACTATGCAAGTCTTTATGACATACAATTCAGGTCATAAAGATGTTTTTTAACAAGTATTTTTTAAAGCCGTCATTGTGCTACTAGATACCACTGGCTCTTCTGATCTAATATTACTAAAAAAAAAAAAAACTGTCAACAAGGGCATCTTCTCGTTTAGTCATTATTATCTTGAATGCAGTCTATTAGAAGCATTGGTTACCATATCCTTACATATAGATTTATAATAACCATATACATTTTCAGTCGGCAGTAGCTAAGTCTGAAGGGACTTGGCTTGTGAACTTAAGAGTCGCCGGTTCAAGTCCCGATCAGACCAGAAAAACAGAGTGTGGACTGTTAGCTGAAGAGGTGCTAGAAGTGTCCTTCAGCACCAACAGAACAAACTGGGGCTGAAAAAACTTGGCCTGCTTACTCTGACACCTCTCAATAAAAACAAAAAGTGCATGTTTAATGTATCTGTATCCGTGTATCAAGACCTAGTGTGTCCTTTGCATGTGTGCATGTGTTCTAACAGAGTGAAAAATGATTAATAAAGTCACTTCTTCTTAATTTCATTCCTATAATAGGCGGTTAGTGTTCTGCCGATGCTCACCCAGGTATCCCGGCTGGCAGGAGCAGGACACGTTGAGTCCTTCGCTCTCACAGCGCCCTCCGTTCTGGCAGCGCATCTTCAGACATGGATCCTTGTAGATTTCACAGTGTCTGCCTGCACGCACAGAACAGACCCCATTAACACCATGACATGCACTAGTCTACAGCAGCGGTGTCCAAACCACGGCCCGGGAGCCAAATGCGGCCCGCGGACCATTTTGAATCGGCCCCTCAGCAAATTCAAAAAGTATAATGACTTAAGTATAATAAACTTGTGCTTTTCTTATATTGTACTTCTTAAATATATATGTTGAAATATATTACACAGTATTCATGTGTTAATAAGCCCACTTTTCAAATACGTTTAGTCAATACAAGTTGAATTTTAACAAATCTAAGTTGATAAGAAAAAAGCCCAATACATTTTTCTGTATGTGGCCCTCGGAGAAAAAAGTGTGGACACCCCTGGTCTACAGTATACAGAGGACATGCATCTAATAATATTAATAAACCCAAACCCAGACATACCTTCAAACTGTGTAGTGCAGACACACTCGTAGGCGTTGACGAGGTCCTTGCAGGTGGCGTAGTTCTGGCAGGGGGCCGACAGACACTCGTTGTACTCCTCCTCACAGTACAGCCCGTGGTAGCCTGAATGGGAAACAGAAATAGAGTATATTATCGAGTCATTAAATATTAAATCATACTATACATTTTGCAGCATTGCCCTATTTTATCAAGGGGAGGGTTGAACTGTAAATGAAAGCTCTTTGGCTGTGACAAGCAGTTCATATAACTCATTCCCATATCCTGTACTGACCCTCAACATAACTCTGCATTTTGTTTAGCATCTGGTGGCGCTATGGTACTTGCATGACTGTAAAAACAACCACAATCATGACCTTTAATCATCATAATCAAAAACCGTTCATTGCCTTCCAAAAAAAGGGAAATACTTTCATGTAAATAAGGTATAATAAGTGAAAAAGGTGTGGTGAGGGGTTGCCTGAAGTAAGACTAAAGGTGTAGCAGATAATTGATTTGACAATGTATACAATATGCTTTAAACAACAGTCTAATGGTGTATGGCAATCTGGAGGACATTAGGACGGTTAAGATTGGTCTAACATTTGTATTACTCTGTGCATGTGTGTAGACTTGTTTATATGTAAAGAAGGAGAAAGAGTGTACGTGTGTACTCTTGCCAGGGATACAAAAAATGCAGAAAGCAGGTTCCTCAAAAGGTTCCTACATTCATTTTCAATGTACTTCACTAAAGAACAATGCAGCACAATGGCTAACGGTGCAGCCACATATCTTTACATCTGCAAAAAAACACAAGGAAACTTTAGATATCAATCACCTGACATTTGTTAAGTGTACAAATATATTGTCAGTCCAGTATTTTGCCCCTGAGCTTCAATGGCATTGGACAGAAGGTCAAGTAGCATGCAGTGCTCCGTGTTTTCCATAGGATGGCAGCTGTGCAACATCTGAGAGCATGGTCAGTGCACGAGTCACAGACAATCTATTATTCTCCAGTGACATTGAAAAACGTAAAATAAAGACTAAAGGACTTCACAGTCTCCTCTGGTTTCTGACCTAGTGCAGCGTCCAGTTTATACTATGTCTTTTAAAAGATATTTTTTAAGATATTATAATATGACTAATATATATGTGTATTCACTCTCTGTCCTAAACGGCTTGTTGGAGCTCCTGCCCCCCCTCCCCTCCCTGTGAGCCGTCTGCGAGACAGCGAGACACAGCGATAACCAGACCGAACATCCACGGATTTAACATAACGGCTCCGCGGATTGGTCCATTCGTTACGTCACTTGGTTCCCGGAAGAAAAAAATTGAAAAAGAAAATGTCCAACGAGGCGTTCTGGGGCAGCATAGACAGGTCTTTTCTGTGTTAGAGTTTTACTCGCTACAGGGTGTACTTTGAGGGTTTGTGACTCTGCAGACCGTTTACATGCAGAAAAACCTTCATAACACCCAAGGGGACGGGTAGTAACCAGAAAAGCATGACATGGGACCTTTAAATCTAAAAGGACTTTTGCTGGAAATAAATCAGTGGATGTCAGTAACAAAGTATTACATAAAGTATATTATGATGCTAATATTTATTTAGTTTTTTCTTAAGTAAGACAAATAACAAAAAATGTAATCAAAGTGCTTATTCTAATATTTGGTTGTAATGTATAGTATGTCAAGAAATATGAAAAAAGTCATATTATAATATCTAAAAAAATACATTTTAAAAGAAATAGAAGTATAATATGTACTTAGGGGAATTCATCCACAGAAAACACACTGGACGCTGCACAAGGTCAGAAACCAGAGGAGACTGTGAGGTCCACCGCAGACGGACCACTTTTGGACAAAATGTCCTCTCCATTAAAGGCAGCTCATTGTGGAATAGCCTCCCAACTGAGACACGGGATTGTCCCACTCTCAATAGCTTCAAAGGTCAACTCAAAGAATGGTGAGAAACAAAGGGACGTGCCATAATATGGAGCTAATTTCCTGCCATAACTCCACAAACAAACTAAACAAGTTTTACACATGCCTTATGATTCACTAACAAACACAGTGTGGTTTGTCAAATACAANAGACGTGTAATCACCGCTAAATGCACTTTAACACAGGGGTATCTCCTCTCGCACTTTAGGTAGCTCTTGTATCTTCTCTTGCACTTTATATGTCGTAGCTGCTATAGTGTGATAAATACTTGTGTATGCTGCTCTTGCTCTTTTGCACCTTTTGCATATCATGTATTTTGTTTTTGCTATGTTTGTAAAATGTAAACTTCTTAAATGTTTTATGTGAGGGACTGCGGATGGAAATTAGCTCAAAGCTAAATATGTTACACATTCTAATGTTTTAAGTGTTCATTACTGCGCATTGTCCCTGCTAAATAAACGATTAAATAAAAAAAAATGTCGCTAAAGTATTTAAAAAGTCATAGTTAATAAAATCATAGTATATCAAAGAACATGTAAAAAAGTATATAAGTTATAATGATGTACTTTCCCACTCCCTGCTGCACTTCATAGAGATGCTCCACCATATACAGTTTGCAAACTACATGACTGGAGTAGCAATCTGTTTTCATTAGCTCCGCTCCCACTGACTACGTTTCTCAGTTGGGTCCCAGCGCTGACGAAGTTTCAAACAATCCCTCCCCGGGCTTTAGCTAACGTGTGTTTGGGGATGGAGAGGAATTAATGAGGAGCGTTAGAGCCTCTAGGGTCTGTGAAATGCCAGTGAAATGTCAAGTGCCTTTCCAAGACTCGCTCAGCATGCCGGCTGGTGTCCTGGCAGCCGCTGACGGGAGCGGGATTACAGGAGACTGGAGGATGGATCCGTGTCTACATATCAACTCCTCAGCAGCTTTCTATCACGCATTTACACAACATACACAAGGCAGATTAACACACACACACACACACACACACACACACACACACACACACACACACACACACACACACACACACACACACACATATACTTCTTCACCATGGCAACCAGACAACGGAGGAATAAAGGGGAATGAGTTGGAGTGAAGGGCAGGAAGATAAAGGACAAAGGGACAAGGACTAGAAGGAATAAAAAAAGAAGAGAAATGCAAAATACATAAAGAAATATGACTGAGGATGCGAGGAAGAAAATAGATATCTGAATAATTGGAAAGAAGCGGTTGACTGCTCCGCACGGCAGGACACAGTGAGAGTGAAAGCTTTTGAATAAACATGAGAAACATGATTTGTGGGGGGATTATCGACTCAAGCAATAACTTTTAAATATTCAGGAAACTGTTTCTTGGGCTGAAAAAGAACTACAGAAAAGTCTAACTTCAAACCAATTAGTGATAAATAAAGTGGTGTACCTCAGGGATCAGCCATAGGCTCCCTTATAAGTTTCCCCTTAATTAAATAATGTGCAAATATGGTATTAATTTCCCTGCTATTTTGATCAAACACAAGTCTATGTACGTGTAATCCAAGTGACCTTTCCAAACTCCTACATTTAGAGGCAGGTTTATCATGACATTTAAAAAAGGATGCATATGAAACTTTTGCTGTTGAATGCATATAAAAACGGGTTGAAGGTATAGCCAAAAATGTGTATTTGTATTACATATTGAGTGTCAACATGTATAACTCCTAAACCTGACCTTCAAAAAAACTGTAATTGTTTGTTTTTTTATTTATTGCCTAACATTTCATTTCAGCATTTTTCATTTAATAATTGCCAAAATCCAATATTATTACATGGCTTAGTTGAATACTCGATTCTGATTGGTCAATTTGGACAGTCCAGAGGTCTCGCTAGCAGAACATTGCTAAAGAGGATGCTCCTTAGCTACAGTATGTGGAGTCATATCACTCCGAAGGAAAAATGTCCGGTCACTTCAACGTCTGCTGCGGACAACAAAGATTCATTTTCAACCATCAGAAAACACAGTTGAATACTTTTTGAAGAAGAAGAAGATAGGAAGTAAACACCAAAGGGAACAGCAGAAGAAGACAGACAGGGAGTAAACACTAAGAGGAAAACCTTCATTAATTCATATGTATTCCCAGACTAGTATTATGTTTGCGCTTGTCTTCAAAGTCTAAGTATTCTAAGGTTACAATCTATCCTAAAAGCCATGCTGCAAAAGAGACAGTAAGAAGCCGCTATGCTGCTGATGAAGGGGAATGAATGGAGGCATCAAGATGGAGATCCAGATGTTGATTGGCTCATATTAAACTGACAGACTGTATAAACAGAGAGCAATAGGGGCAAAGTGTCTCATTACGTTCATGGGCCACTGGGAAAGTAATCTATTTCCCCATCCCGGCTAGGTAATTGCAAGACAATGGATTATGAAAAGTCATCATTCCACTCAATTGATTTCATCACAGAGGCATCGGTGCGAGTGCAACGATCGCCCCTTTCTAAAAATAACTCATCATACAGACGGTGGAGAGTTGCTGCTGCTCTGAGGCTGAGACAAAGTCATCGTCTTTTCAGTTTTAACCAAGCTTGCTGGTTGCAAAGCTGGATTTAGAGCGTTGATGAATTAGGAACAAGGTGTCTTTAGATGGGTTTGTTAATGGCTCAAGGGGTCCGAGAGCCCACACTGTAAAAAATGCTGCTCCAAAAACAAGTTAAAAAATAATTTAAAAAAGCTGTTTTCACTTGAAATAAGTACAAACATCTGCCAATAGAACAAATGAAAATTAGCTTGGTAAGAGAACTTGAAATAAGAAGGGATATTTAGATAAATCAGATCTTGTAATTAGCTGGGAGAACACATTTTGAACTATATTTGACCAGAATCAGGAAATGTTGTGTTACAATATATGCCGCAAATACTCAAATGTTTTTCTGTGTTCTGATGTTAGTTGGTGATTTTCTAATAAATGTGTAAAGAAATATGTGTTTCATCTGAGATACGACTCAAAATAAGATTGTTTGACTTAACAAGATGATGCATTGTCTAAAAACAAGACCCGATATCTCACTGCAGTGTTGCTTCTGAAGTTATTATGTCTCATATTCTGACTAGATATTAAACACATATACTTGGCAAGATTTCGAGTTTTTGTAGTGCAAAGGCATTAGCTTCTGATTTCTGGTTGGAAAGTGGAAGCGGTAAGTCAAAAGTAAGAATGTATTACTTTGGCTCAAGGTCGGTTATAATGAAGTATCTTTTAAAGTCAGATTTCTCCATTTCCCTTTTACATTACATCAAGTGCAATCAATCCCTGAAGATAACAACTCAGAACAGCAAGAAACCTGCACCTACATTCGTTTTAAATAAGCCAAACCATGTTAAGTACTTTTTTCACACACATACAGTAGCACCACAGCTTTCCCATGACTTCTTTCTATAGGATGTTGCATAGTATTTGTTGAGAGAAAGGTGAAGGTGGATCAGCTGTGGCAGGAGGCTTTGAGGAACAAACATGACAGGTTTTCATGTCTAGCATGAACAACATACTTCAGTTCAGGATCTCTATTCAGCTAAAAGCCAAAACCTTGTCCTCATTTCTCTTTCTGTATTTACATTTTTATAATGTTGTATCTGTATGTGTGTGTCATCTATGAAGATGGCTTGAAAAATTAATACAAAGTTGATAAACAAAAAAATTGTCCAAGAACCCTAAATTACAAACATTCTTTTATTATGTACATACGCTTTACATATATCCAGAGGTGGCAGAAGTACTCAGATCTTGTACTTGAGTAAAAGTAGAAGTACTCAGATCTTGTACCTGAATAAAAGTAGAAGTACTCAGATCTTGTACTTGAGTAAAAGTAGAAGTACTCAGGTCTTGTACTTGAGTAAAAGTAGAAGTACTCAGATCTTGTACTTGAGTAAAAGTAGAAGTACTCAGATCTTGTACTTGAGTAAAAGTAGAAGTCTCAGATCTTGTACTTGAGTAAAAGTAGAAGTACTCAGATCTTGTACTTGAGTAAAAGTAGAAGTACTCAGGTCTTGTACTTGAGTAAAAGTAGAAGTACTCAGATCTTGTACTTGAGTAAAAGTAGAAGTACTCAGATCTTGTACTTGAGTAAAAGTAGAAGTACTCAGATCTTGTACTTGAGTAAAAGTAGAAGTACTCAGATCTTGTACTTGAGTAAAAGTAGACGTACTCAGGTCTTGTACTTGAGTAAAAGTAGAAGTACTCAGTAAAGTACTAGATCTTGTACTTGAGTAAAAGTAGAAGTACTCAGATCTTGTACTTGAGTAAAAGTAGAAGTACTCAGATCTTGTACTTGAGTAAAAGTAGAAGTACTCAGATCTTGTACTTGAGTAAAAGTAGAAGTACTCAGATCTTGTACTTGAGTAAAAGTAGAAGTACTCAGATCTTGTACTTGAGTAAAAGTAGAAGTACCAGAGTGTAGGAATACTCTGTTGGAAGTAAAAGTCCTTCAATCAAAATGTTACTCAAGGAAAAGTACAAAAGTATAAGCATCAAGTCCCTCGAAATTGTACTTAAGTGCAGTACTTGAGTAAATTAACTTAGTTACTTTTAAACACTGTATAAATTCGAAAATCTTAAAACGAGATGAGCTGTCCCCCCCTCACATCGCTAAGTGATTTTGGATAAACTTGGCACCTTAAGCCTTTACAAAAGCACTAAAAACCCCCACTGCTCACCTGGGACGCACAGACACCTGTAGCTGTTGCCCACAAATAATAATGCAAAGTTGAACAAGAACTAGATTACATGCATTCAAATTAGCAAATTCCTGCAAACACACGCACTTTTATTATGTACACACGCATCACATACATCCAGATTTTATACTTAAGTAAAAGTAGAAGCGCCAGAGTGTAGGAATACTCTTAGGTGAGATAAGTCCTTCAAAATGGTGCTTAGGTGCAGTGCTTGGTTAAATTGACTTTCATATAAATCTGAAAATCTTAAAACGAGCTGAGCTGTCCCATCTCTGAGTGACATTGGATAAACTCGTCACCTTAAGCCTTTACAAAAAGCACTTAAAAGCCCCGCTGCTCACCTGGGACGCACAGACACCTGTAGCTGTTGCCCACGCTGCGGCAGACCCCGTGGGCGCAGGGGTTCAGGGCGCAGAAATCCACCAGCTGGGCGCACGTGGGGCCGGTGAAGCCCGCCGTGCAGCTGCAGCCGAACCCCAGGGGGCCGGGACCCTGAGCGTAACACGTCCCGTTATTATGACAGGGGCCGGAGGCACAGGGGTCCACCTTCTGCTCACAGGTAGCTCCCTGGTAGCCTGCAGGAGGGAGAGGAAATGGTAGAATGGTATACCGTCCAATAAATTACAATCTCCCTACCTCGGCGTCAATATGCTGGCATTTCTTCTTGTGTTTTTTATCTAATCAAATCAAATCAAAATGTATTATAGCTCCAAATCGCAAGAAATGCCTCAAAGGGCTGTACAACGCAAACAAAAGCAAAGACAAAAACAAAATACAAACGTCAAAGCATAAAAACTATAAAAAACATTATACATCAACATAAGTATTGCCATGATTTATGATTTCTTATGTTTATATTTCGTATTTTTAGGTTCATATTTGAATTGTGTGAGATGTTTACATGCTTTAATGTTGACAGCGATAAAAGAACGTTATTCACTCCATGCAGACAAAGCATGAATCTGGGGAAAACCGTGACTTGGGTTTGAAAAAGAGCTTAAAAAATAAAGTGGTGTACCCCAGGGATCTGTCCTTGGATCCCTTACATGTTTCCCCTTAATGAAATAATGTGCACATATGGTATTAATAACTGCTAGAATCCACTTCAAGACACTGGTACTTTCCTACCATGCTGCGAATGGATCTGGCCCTTCCTACATCCAGGATATGGTTAAACCGTACACCCCAGCACGTGCACTCCGCTCTGCATCAGCCAAACAGCTCACCCGCACTGCGAGGGGGACCCAAGTTCCCATCAGCAAAAATTCGTGGGTTTGCTATCCTGGCTCCAAAATGGTGGAATGAGCTCCCCATTGAAATCAGGACAGCAGAAAGCTTACACATCTTCTTCAGACTGAAAAGTCATCTGTTTTGACTCCACTTCGAGAGATAGAATTACTAACAAAGCACTTGTATACTAATAAAGGACTGGCTTATCTAAAGCCAGTTGAGTAGCACTTGAAATGTTTGGCTCTATGAAACCTGATGTACTTATATGATTCTGATTTCTTCAAGGTTGTATCTTGTTGGTCGAATGCACTTATTGTAAGTCGCTTTGGATAAAAGCCTCAGCTAAATGCAATGTAATGTAATGATGGAAACTTCTGGAGCAATGGAGACAAAGCTCAGAGACACGGGGAGAGCTGGAACTTTGATAGTAAACACTGAGGGTTTATTATGGAGTTACGGCCGGAGAATTTGACAAGACATGCTACAGCCATGAGGTGACACAGCTGCTGCCAAACCAATTCTGAACATCTCTACCCCAGAGCCCTGTATTGTGGTGGGCAGGCGCAGCTTCCACACCTTAGTGTGGTGTGTCGAGCTTGGGGTAGGCTGTAGGAGTAACCAACAGTAGGTCTAACGGATGGGGCGAAGGGTGACGGGACAGGCTGGACGGACGAGCGGAGCTAGGGACTAGGACGGAAGGGGAACCTGATAGGGACGGAACGGGACGACAGACTAGGAGCGGACATGAGCGACGGGCGAGCGGGACGAGGACTGAGACGGCCTGGACTGGTGGAAACGGCGACAGGGAGGCAAGCAAACGACATGTCAGTAGGGCCAGTAACGGAGACGAGACCAATAATAATGGTTATTGTCATGTAATGGTTATGAGGCGACCAAGAGCTCACGTACGTAGACTCAGGAAGTATTCTAACACTGTTAAGTAAGGGGATTCTNATCAGGACAGCAGAAAGCTTACACATCTTCCGGCGCAGACTGAAAACTCATCTCTTTCGACTCCACTTCGAGCAATAACATTACTAACAAAGCACTTCTCTTCTCTCGAATGCACTTACTGTAAGTCGCTTTGGATGAAAGCGTCAGCTAAATGCAATAATGTAATGTAATGTAATATCACTGCTACTTTGATAAAACACAACTCTATGTTGAATTTCCAAACCACAAACGAGAAATGGCTTTCAGTGTGCCTTTAAGCCTCACAACTGCCCACATTTGTAGAAGCAGCTGTGTGGATAATGTACTGAAACAAAGACATCAAGAAGACACCACCTTTTGTCCCTTCTGTGTTCCTGTTCTCATCATCGTTAGAGCCAAAAAGAACAGCAGCTTATCAGAGTATTTATGATTGCTTTGACAGGGATGTGTTAAAGGAGGATAGTTGTGTTTCAGTCATGAGTTCACTTCTCTTTGTTGGGTTCTTCAAATCCTCTCATTAGTGTGCGAACCTCTGCTTCTCTCACCTATATCCTCCACATCTAAAAATAACTTCCTCCCTTCATTCTCCACCCCTTCTCCTCCTCTGCCTTCACCTCCCCACGAGAGCTGCCATTGTACTGCAGCGGGAGAAACACTACACTATATGAACACTAAAGTGGTGTGTGTGTGTGTGTGTGTGTGTGTGTGTGTGTGTGTGTGTGTGTGTGTGTGTGTGTGTGTGTGTGTGTGTGTGTGTGTGTGTGTGTTGAGGGAGAGAGAGAGAGAGTGTGTGTGTGTGTGTGTGTGTGTGTGTGTGTGTGTGTGTGTGTGTGTGTGTGTGTGTGTGTGTGTGTGTGTGTGTGTGTGTGTGTGTGTGTGTGTGATTTACAGTAACACTGTAGTAAATTCCTGTGCCGACTGCATGGCGGTGACAACTCAATTGAGCTAATGAAGAGATCTCTCTCAAACTACCATTGATCTGCGAGACTTTATTTCACCGTGAGAGGAGGCCATTTATCATTCGGCTGCAGAGAGGCAGGAGTCGGAGGAAAATCTCACCCGAATCTCTCTTTCTCTCTTTTTCACCACTCTGCCTCAATCATATGCTTGCTTAAATCTAAATCACATGTGTCAAACTCAAGGCCCGGGGGCCAAATCCGGCCCGTGGTGGATTTAATTTCGGCCCACAGGATAATTTCTAATTCCTATTAGATCTGGCCCGCCGGTATATTGCACGCACACCTTCACTCCATCCTGAGGGTCTCCTCAGCTCAGAGCCTGAGCCCAAACATTGATGACCTTGCACCCAAGATGAGATGCCAAGT